CGCAGAATATTTATATCTTGATTTCTAGCCGAAATCTCCGTTGTAGTATGGAAAAGAATGTAATTTAATATAAGAAGAAACGAGAAACTGAAAGTGAAAGTGAAAGTAAAGGGTGAAAATTGCAGGATATTCTTCAGAAAGTAAACAATTTAATAGCAGTTTTTTTCTTCTTTCTTACTTAAATTATTCATACTTAAACAATAAGATCGATCTAAATTGACGTCAAGATAATTGATGAAACCTTTTCAAGGCAGATATTGAGAATCGGTAAAGATGCGTATGGGAAAGAAAGGAGAAAAAACGTTGTCAAAAAAGAAAAAAAAATGTAAAATTATCAACAACGGTCAAGCTAAGATGAAAAGGTTATATGCTGCTTACTAAATTATATATATATATATATATATATATATATATATATATATATATATATACATACACGAATGTGTGTAGATCTGTGTGTGTGTGTATATATATATATATATATATATATATATATATGCATATATATATATGTGTGTGTATATCTATATATACATGAATTTATGTATAGATGTACATCTTTTATTAATAAATATTTATATGATTGCATATATTTACATACATATGCATGAAATGGGGTCAAATATGGATCAATTATGGATTAAAAATCCAACAATGATAGAATAAGGAAAAAAATATTAAACGTCTATAACTTTAACATGTTTCGTTTTTGTTTACGCTTCATCAGCAAATGATTTTCTACTATATATTTCATGTTCATCGATCGGCAAAAAATACATTTTCCTACATTTCATTTTCTGATGAAGCTTAAATAAAATGAGCAAAATATTAAATTAATAAACGTTTACTCTTTGTTCCTCATTCTATCATGGATTTAGTGATATATAAAGCAACCCAGTTTATATGCATACATACATACATACATACACACATATATATATATATATATATATATATATAAAACATTAGGCAGCATATAATTTATATACAAAGAAATAATCACACATAGAATCAATCAGCAATATTAATGCTATTATTGGCGACATCCATCGCTAGTAGTGTATAATGTATGCATTAAAATACTGTTAATCCATAGAGTGACGCGATCCTCATTTATAAAACTACTACTAAGACATAACACTATATTAATTGAACTATATACTTACTTCATGACATATTAACTGAATACACTTGTAAAAATAGAATACGTGGATTTACCACATCACAAGAAAAGTTCAAATAAAATTCTCACTTAAAATTTTGAAAAACTTAGCGTTGCGTTTTTGCACGTTCCGAGATTGGACACAACCGTCAATAATAGCACATATTCAAAAAAACATCTTTCGGTCGACAAATAATTATTTCGTCTCCAAGTTTTTGATTTTATAAGGAAAAGATATGCCTGACAATGAATAAAGGATTATTCGAAAGTACTTGTATTAAAAAAAATATAAGCTGGAAACAACAGAGAACAGTTTTATAAATGAGGATCACGTCACTCTATGGATTAACAGTATTTTAATGCATACATTATACACTGCTAGCGATGGATGTTGCCAATAATAGCATTAATATTGCTGATTGATTCTATGTGTGATTATTTCTTTGTATATATATATATATATATATATATATATATGCATGTTTCATTAAAAGCGACACACAGTGTACTACGGTTAAGCTTTTTATTTACCTTTTCTTATATTCGAAAAAGTGTTTTCTTTTTTGGACACAGAGTATATAGAAACTGTCCAAATGTTCTATAATTCCGAGCGCTTTCGGCTATACTTTTAGCCATTATGAAGGATGATTTTATTTTTGCTTTTTAATTGTGTGTGTGTACAGTGTGTATATGTTTTTCTTAATGTTATAGAGATATCTTATTTTCCGAACACAGTTAGCACATTGTGGCCGTGTTCGTAGTTAATATTAGTAAGTATTGGCTTTTTTCTTTTTTTATTATTAAGGCTTCCATTATTTTAATTCTTATTTTACATGTGAATGAGGCTATTATGTTTGTATTTTCTACTAGTATCTTTCGGGTGGAGTCTGGTAAGTTTGTGTGTTTCAATGGGTTCTAATAGAGCTGTGGTCAGATAGATGTAACGAGAGGCAGCTAGATAAGCATGTAGTCGTGTGACCGATGTAATTATTTATGAATTCGATTTGACCAGGAACACAGTTGCTTAAGTGTCATTTGAACTCGTATAGGGTGTTCGTTTGTTGTAATTTTGATGTTGCTGGTGTGTTGTTATTTTTTAGAATAAAGTTATCTGTTTTAAATTTTTTGTAGTAGATAATTAATTTGATTTTTTTTATTCAAGTCAATTGGGGTAGTGTATTTCTTTATAATATTTCTAAGTGAACACAACATGCGGTGGGTGCAACAAAAATTTCTGCGATTAGGATATAAGAGAAAGAAAGAAAAATAGAAAGCAAGAGAGACAAAAACAAGCAAGAAAAAGAAGTACATGGAATAAATGAATAAATAAAGAGAGAAAGAAACTGAACTTTACTAGCGCGAATACTACAAAATATTCTACGATTATTGCACGAATGAAAGAAAGAAAGAAAGAAAGAGGTGCATATGAAAAAACGGATCCTAGTAAAGAAAAAGTAAAGAAAACAAACTAAACATTACGGGCGACAATTTGGCAACACGCCTACGATTAGTGAGAGAAAGAAAGAAAGAAAGAAACAAGAAAGAAAGGAAGAACGATGAGTGAGTCAAAGAAAGAAAACGGAAAGAAAAAGATAAAAATTAAGAAATATATATAAAGAAAGAAAGAAGGAAAGAAAACCAAGTGTATAGGATAGACACATAAATATCAAAATGACGAATACAAAAAGAGAACATTGTGGGTGCAAATGTGTAAAAATTTCTAAGATTACTGCACCCGGTAAACGAAAGCAAGGAAGAAACAGTCAAGAAGGAAAAAAATATGTGAGGGTAAGAAAGGAAGAAGCAAACAAACAAGTAAAGAAAGAAAGAAAATGTATGAGGGGAAACAAGAAAATGTATGAGTGAATCAAAGAAAGAAAGAAAGAAAGAAAGAAAGAAAGAAAGAAAGAAAGAAACGAAGGCGACAGGAAAAAGAAAGAAAGAAAGAAAGAAAGAAACGAAGGCGACAGGAAAAAGAAAGAAAGAAAGAAAGAAAGAAACGAAGGCGACAGGAAAAAGAAAGAAAGAAAGAAAGAAAGAAAGAAACGAAGACGGCAGGGAAAAGAAAGAAAGAAGGAAAGCAAGAAATAACAAAGAAAGAAACGAAGACGGCAGGAAAAAGAAAGAAAGAAAGAAACAATGAAAGAAATAAGGAAAGCAAGAAATAACAAAGAAAGAAACGAAGACGGCAGGAAAAAAGAAAGAAAGAAAGAAAGAAAGAAAGAAAGAAAAAAAAAGAAAGAAATATAAAAATATGCACGAGGGAAGAAATATGAGGAAAGAATGAAAGAAAGAAAATTTATGAATGAAAGAAAAAAAGAATGAAAGAGAGAGAGAGAGAGAGAGAGAGAGAGAGAGAGAAAAACGTGGAGAAACTTATATAAAAAAATAAAATAAATAATAATAGAAATAAATACTTAAATATGAGTAAACCAGTCAAACTGTGAATAAGAAATCATAAATAAGTTCCAGTAGAAGCGAATTTTGAAAAAAAAAAAAAGAAAAAAAGAAAATCAAAAGCGTAATATTTAGGAGATTGAGGTTAAACAGGCAATTTCAATGGAAAGTTCTTTGTCCCGCTGAGAAAACTAGAAATATCGTTGCCGGCGCGGTCATAACAATCTATTATATTTTCTGCCTTCCATTTTTATAAGCGGCAACATTTTGTATTTCGCTTGCAGTTTTATCTACATTTTGTTTGTTATTATTAACGTATTCCACGTTAGTTTTCCTTGCGCACTTCACGATGTACACCTGCACGCTTATAGTAGCCGACGTAAAGTGACTTTTCCAGTTTGCACAAAGACTGGTACCTAAAAACGTCTCTCTCACAAACTCACACACCCAAAAGATAGCCATAAAAAATATTTGAGCAGGAGCTGCCCAGATCTCACTTTCCAGTCTCGACAGAGTTCAAAAGAGTCTCCGAGTCTTTGTTGGAGAAGAATTATTTTCCAACCTTCAACCTCTCTCTCACAGGTGGGATTCTGCGCTACTGTTACCTCCATGGAAAGTGCTCGGACGAACTACATTCCTTGTCCCCGCCATGTCTAACCTTCACGCCTAGAAATTGCCATGCCATTTACATTGTAGCAACCACCCACAATCCCTCCGACTGGGCAGCTCCCGCCCTAACAAGGTGATAGTATTCCATTTTCGGCCTCACCTGGTTCTTATAAAGGTAGAGGATACAATGAGGAGTCAGGTACTTACTAGAGCGGTACAGGTAGACGATTACGTTAACTTCATTTACCGAGGGATTGCTTTTACTTACACAGTGAAGTTTTTTGGAGAAAAAAAAAATCCATCTCTTTTTCAATCTTCTCTTGGGCTATCGTGATTTTCTAAGCGTAGCTTAGATGTGGCACAAGGCCAAAACTATGGGGTGCCTAGTGCGGATCCCCGACTCAGTCGTAAAAATGATCTAGCAAGACAAGCTTCTTAGCCATTACACCACGTTGAGGTTCCCGCTTCTTTTGGGTTATATAGCGTGATAGACTGGTCTTTCTACCCTCGGTTCGACAGCAGTCTACTACACGGTTGACTGATTTGTTTTGTGAAAAATAATATCGCTCAAATGTCTGCCAAATCTGAAAGAAAAAGAAAAAAATCATTAGACTCTTAACTTAATTCACATTTAGAATCAGTCCAAGTTATTGGAACACCGTTTATAACACTAAGAAATCATAGATGTTAATAGGTCAGGGTTCAGTTATTCAAGGTGACAAGATTTAAGTGTAGTTCATTTAAAACCCTATGTGTTATTATGTAAGGCTCCCAATATTCTATATTAGAAATTATGAAATTTCTGTTAAGTGTGGACTAATCCTGAAGAGGCTGACGGTCACATCAAGTTGAAAAACTAGTTCTCGTACGATCACCGAAGTTAAGCAACGTCGATTATAGTCAGTAGATGGGTGACCGCCTGCGAATACCATGTACTGTAAGCCTGGATGTGCGCGTGGTGTAATAGATAATGGCTCGGAATTTTTAATCAGAGAGCCCGGTTCCAATACCCGTTGGGTGCGTTATATTCATTTACGCGCTAATATCATTGGGGAAAGGTATGAATCCACATCTCCTCCCATCAGCTATGTCTCAATTAGTAAGAATTGTATCACTAAAACCATTATTATCTTAAAAAAAAATGCGTCCAAAATATTTACATTTCGGCATTTAGTCACGCATAGAGATTGATATGCAGCTGAACAAAAACACCCAACTGACTAATTCTGAAGATTTAGGAGAGGTAATGAAATGTTACTGACTCGAACCACATCTTATTAGGTTGGTGCAGAAATAATGACGTAATAATATCGTTTTTTGTAGTATTTTTTAACGTCAAAAAACGACATTATTACGTCATTATTTTTGCACCAACCTAATATTTGTCCAAAAGAAGGAACATAATAATTTCCAGTTTGAGTCCCTGGACTATTCCAAAGGTTTAAAATTATTGTTAACTGCAACAGCTTTTATTTGATTGCATATGGAAATAGCGATTTCATTTACCAACATCATAAGTTCGATAATCGTTATCATGTCTGGTTCAGTAGACCAGTAAGTTAACGATTATGCTTAGTGTGGTTAGTACTGTCTATTGTAAGTAGTGAGTGCTTTCCACATTGAGGGGCTCTATACAAATATTCGACTCTAAATAACTGAAATCAGTTTAACGTTTACTTTATACCACTCAGAAAATGCCTGTGTGACTTTTTTAAAATAACGAAATATTGTTTTATTTTACAGGGTGTCCATAAAGACTCTTTACAGTTTTAAAAAAAATATTACAAAAGCAAATGAACAGACACATATCTGGAAATTGTTACAAAATGGGGAGTAAATACTAAAGTTTTCTAATTTAATACACCTCTATATGGGCACCATTAGTTGCACGAAGCACATTAAGTCGGTACTTGGTTTCTTGCCATTTTCGTAGAAGCATAGCCTCATCAATAGTGGCAATGGCATCACTGATCTTTTGCGATACATCAGTGATGTCCCGTATTTTTGTACAATACACAACATCTTTAACATAATCCCATAGAAAGAAGTTCAGGGGAGTTATATCTAGTAAACGAGATGGCCAGGCAATTAAGCTATCCCTTCCAATCCACTGGTCTAGAAATGCTAGGGTTTCTTTTAACAGTACCTCTTTCATCAACAGGATTCATGAAATACATAAATGCAGTATGATTATAAACATTGATAACAACTGAGTACATACAACAAATCTGGGTAAGATTATCTCATCAATTGCCTTTGAAATTAATATCATTTTAAATTGTAAAGAGACTTTATGGATACCCTGTATTATACACTGCGTTCTTATTATTTTATTCGAATTATTTTCCTCATCTTGGTTGTTACTGACACAAGTGGAAACCCTTTGCCTATTAAAATAAACATGAACAGAGAAGATGCTTTAATGGCGAAAAACGTGGTCTTTGGAACTAGAAATATTGATCTGAAAATAAATTATCTAGCGTCAAATTAAACGAAAAAAAAGAGTTTCTGAGAAGTGCTATTATAGACGACGTAAATTGCGACATCCAAAGGCGCATTGTAATAAAGTAAGGTGCTTTGTAAAAGCTAAGCAAAGTATTACGAAACAAGAACATTTCGTTAGAAACAAGGAACAGGGTTAAGAAATGATATGTAAGATAAATTCTCGAATAGAGTAGTGAATGCTGAACAATTTCCTCAGAGATGAAGAGAAGACTTGGAGCAACGGAGAAGTAGTTCTACAAATGGATCTTTACAATAACATGTACGTGACATGTAAGCAACAGAAGAATTTTAATGTGTTAACAAAAAGAACACTTTTTTATAGAATCAGTAAAAGACATGAGGATTAGAAAATTTGACACTCAAAAGAGATATTGAAGGCAGGGGGCCCAGAGGAAAATAGCGACTTGCCTACCTAAGAAGATTTTCGAAATGAATGGTAGGTCAAAGACTGAGTGGTTTAGTAAAGGGATAACGTTGCTTTGTGATACAGACAATAGGATGTTGTTGTAGAGAGACCTAATTGCCTACGTCCTGAGGAGACACAGTCTATAGCAGAACAAGATATAACTTTTTGATTTAAGGTATTTATTAAACTTATGTTAGTATGGCATGAGGTCAAAATTATAGAGCACAGAAAGGGGATCAAACTATTCTTGGTTCGCAAGATCCGTTTCTTATTCCCTTCCTCCCCTTTTGACATCTAATATTTGATCCGATATCACATCTAATAAAAAAGATAATATGAAATCTAAAATGCTTCCATGTCACCTACAAACGTCAAGCATTTAAATACAACGTAAATGGCCATCATCTATGTTCCTGTATTCTGTTCTTTTATTGACTTTTCTCCTCAGTAAAGACTTCACATTCTCTTTCACTCCCAGTAATCAGATGCGTTTTAGTGGAATGTTCCCCTTGTTTAGTGTGAAATGATAAATAAATGTCAAACACAACGTATATTTAAATCAAAAGAATGTATGTGTATTTGCCATTAGGTGAACTTGATTTCTTATTGGTAAATTCATTAATTATTTTAACGTTCATGTTTTGTCTCGTCATTAAACAAATTCATTCATATTGATCCCAGCTTTTAATGTCTATTCCATAGACATCGATTTTTGATCGTTGTGTGAGTGAAGCTTTTCTTTGATATTCCACATTTTGTTGGTCAATATATTTGATTCTTAAAATATATTTTAGATTCTTGTTCATTACTTAATGATTCTGAATTTAAAGTTGTCCCCGATTTTTTGGGGGGGTGGGAGACGTGCGACATTTACCTTGACTCTTGATGCTAAAATTTCTTTAACCTCTGAACTGATTTTGACGTCATCGATCGAATTTAGTTTCCCGTTCGACAATGATTTTAGATGGCTATTGATTATCGACAGTAGATTGACTTCAGAATCTTATTTTCCTCACAGTGTTCTATTGACGCCTGATACTTCTTAATACGTCTTTGATTTTCCGTAGACTCGAGATGTTTTCTTGCAAGCTGATGACCTCCTTCTTGGTTATTCTCTTTCTATTGATCGTTTGCTGCTGTTTCAAACGGCGGCCATCTTCAAATGACAATTTATTGAAGAGTAGAGGACATCATCAATTGATAATTTGAAGATTTTTCCTACGATACGGGTATAATTTCGAGTCAAAAGGACTAATTGAAACAATACGTTTCATGAACTTACTATCTATTAGATAGCACAGTATTACGTCATTTCCTGGACATTACGCCTGCAAATAAAGCTCGAAAAAATCAAAGGCAATCCTATTCTTGCAGGCATATTTCTTGAATAGTGCACTTTCTGAAATGATACAACTTGGGGTTAAATATTGGCTAGATCCTTTTTACATTGAACACTTCAAGAAATATAATTCTTTTAAAAATACTAAAGTTAGGAACCTAACATTTGTTTCATTCACTTTCTTTTTTATTGTGTTAATATAAAATTTAAAATATAATTTGTATAGATTTTGCGTATAATTAAAGTAATAACAAGCATTAAAACTACCCTTTAAAAATCAATTTTCTTGTTTTACCCGTTTGTCTTACAACGCTTGTACGTTTAAGTTTTAAAATTTTGCGTTTCTAGGTCTCTATTATTGATTCTTTGTTGGCATTAAATGCTTATTCTTCCATCTCTTATTTTATTTGTCCTTTTTTAGCCGGCACTGATTGCTATGATTCCTGTTGAGGTCGAAAGGTATTGTTATTACATTGTCAGGTTGTTTTACTGGATTTATGAAGGTGATACTCATCGTAATTCATCGTTAGCCAGCAGATAAGAAGCTAAGCATAAAGTACAATGTATATTCGATTATATAATAAATAATGAAAATACCACCTTCACAGAAATCCTGCACCAATTTTTGCTAACAGCGATGGCCTTAGACTAAATGAACCGGAATAGATGATTTTATTTTCCTAATATAATCAGCGAGTCTCTGAGGATCATCAAAGAGGCAAAAAATTACCGGACAATTCCATGCTGTGATGTACCGAAAATAAGTTTTTTTCACGTAATGCAAAGATCGAGAGTCACTCAAAGTAGAGCATTACAGAATGGGTTGTGTGATATGAATATAACAGGAAGGGAAGATTATTCGGATAGTAAACCAATTGACATCGTCTTGAAGAGGTTTATATTTTAGTGTTCACATAAGAATCTATGCGGACGGCTATTCCACAATGTAGTTCTTGTAATACGGGGGAAATCAGCGGTATTCGATTACTTAGATATAGCAAGGCGACCATTAACTCTAAATGTCCGAATTGATGGAATAGAACAAATATGAAGATTAAATTCACTTTCATTCTCCGTGCGGCCTGTTATTTTTATATTTGGAGTGACTTTATCCGAAAGAACAACTCAGTATAACTTTCGGTGTCATTCTATTGACGTAGATTTCGATTAGTTGAAATAAATATTTCGAAAGTGTTTTGGATGCTGTTTTCTCCATTGAGTCACATATCCAGAGCGTTACGCATGACGTGAGATTCCAACCCAGAAAAAAAAGCTCTTTCGTAAATGGCACTCAAACACATGTAACACTGTGTACGTAAAATCGAGAATAATAATAAACCAAGGTTAAGTATCAAAATCCGCTAACTAAATATCACCCACATAATTTGTTGGAAATATATCGCATTTCAGAAATATGAGATATTTGATAATGTCGCCTGACGGTTACAGGAAGCCGAAAAAACCCCAAAAAACAAAGAAAAAGAAAAGAAAAATAGAGGCAGGATGTGGAGGTGTCTTTTCATTGGTCCGTGAATTGGTAAATCAGCAAGGAGCGAAAAAGCAAGTTTTTCTTTGTTTTTTTTTTTTTTGTTCCTGGAAAATAAAGTTTCTTTCTCACAAATTATTCAGTGAGAATTTTTCGCTTGGTAATGCCCACATGGATCTGCAAAATGTTAGGATTGGTAAGTTCTCTCGCTGATTTTCTTTCCCCGTCGATAACAAATAGATTCAAAATTTCTCTACAGGCACGATAAAAAAAAATATCCAAAAGAAATCATATGCATTGCGTTATTTAATACTACAAAAACCTTTAACCTGGTGAAAAGGTGGTTGATATAGCTTTTATTAAGAAGCTGAGACAGGTCGACTTTGATCTGAAGCCGACTGTGCAGTCTAATCCATGGACACAATTGATACAGCCAACTACGGAAAAGGACTGTAGGGCAGTAATAGTCAAAAAAAGTCTTTACAGCCACATATGATATACTGACAGTGTCACAATTTTGTCTCGATAATATCACCATCTCTGAGCAGCCTGGGCACTGGCAGGGTCCTATAGAGCACACCCCGCCAAAAAAAAAAAAAAAGAATTAAATAGCATGAATTTCTGTAGGTGTAAAAGGCACATCAGGATTAAAACTTCAGTCTTAGTAATGTTGTCTCCAGAGAGTAAAACGCGTACACATCACTAATGGAATCACTGAAATATGCGTAGTGACAAAATAGATTGCTCAAGATTTGGCGTCATATACAAGAAATTTCAAAATGAGAGTAGACTTTTAATTTTGTTTTTCCTCGGGGTTTGTCTGCTTCCAATTATTGTTTTACCTCATTTGCCTTGTTAAACTGTCATTACTCATTATCTTTCATTAATTTTCTATCATAGGTTTTATCATATGTTTTTCAGTTTTTATTCATCATTTAATGTAGTTATAGGTTAAAAATAATTCTTGATTGTCTGTTTCGCTTATTTTTATTCGTCCCGAAAATAAGTGTTTCAGCTTCTTAATTGGGTAGCGGGAAAGAAGGGGACTTCAAGGCAGAAGCAGAAAGATAAAGAAATGGCTGCCAGATGCATATCAATGTCTTTGATCCCACTAGGAGAAAAGTGCAGGAAAAAAAAATGAAGAGAAAAACATCCAAATAAAAGTAAGAGATGCAAAAACGAAAAAAAAAAAAAAATAACGCATTAATTTGAAGAAAATGAAAGAAGTTAAGAATTTACAAGTGAAAAGAGAAAACAAAGAGAAAATATAAACGCAGTGGCAGGGAAATATGGAAGGAAAGAGAGTTTGAAGAGAGATAATAGTAAGAAAAAGAAAAATTAAATAAATAAATACATGAATAAAGTGCAGTAATTGCGAAAAGAAACGAAGAAAAATGAAGGGATAGACAAAATATTAGAATAAATGAGAGACTTTATATCTGGAAGAAATAAAGTAAGGAAGTTGTAGAAATAAGTAAGTTAAGAAAGAAAGACGGAAAGAAAAAAAGAAAGAAAGACAGAAAAGTATTGAAGATTGAATAATGACATGAGAAATAAAGATAAAAGAAAGAAAAAAGAAATGAAAGAAAGAAAGAAAGAAAGAAGGAGGGAAAATAGAAAAAAGAAAAAATGTATTCTAGAAAGAAATGACATAAAAAGCAAAATAATTGAAAGCAAAACGGAAAAAAGAGAAAAAGGAAGAAAGAAAAGCATTGGAGACTGAATAGCGACATGAGAAAGAAAGAAAGAAAGAAAGAAAGAAAGAAAGAAAGAAAGAAAAAGTAAGAAGGAAGTATGGAATGCACGAACGAATAAAAGAAAGAAAGAAAAAAGAGAGAAAGAAAAGGAAAATACTGGAGACAGAATTGAAAGACAGAAACAAAGAAGTAAGGAAAAAAGTAAGAAAGAAGGAACGAAGACTGGAATAAAAGAGAAAGAAGAAAGAGAATGAAAGAAAGAAAAGTAAAGCACTGGAGACTAGTGACATGAGAAAGAAAGAAAGAAAGAAAGAAAGAAAGAAAGAAGAAAAGAAGGAAGGAAGGAGGGAAAGAAAAAGAAAGAAAGAAGAAAAGAAGGAAGGAAGGAGGGAAAGAAAAAGAAAGAAAGAAGAAAAGAAGGAAGGAAGGAGGGAAAGAAAAAGAAAGAAAGAAGAAAAGAAGGAAGGAAGGAGGGAAAGAAAAAGAAAGAAAGAAAGAAAGGATGAAAGAAAAAAAGAAACAAAGGATGAAAGAAAGAAAAGCCGAAGGAAAAAAGAAAACAAAGAAAGACAAAAAGAAAATGAATGAAAGAAATAAATAAATAAAGAAAGAAAGAAAGAAAGAAAGGGAGGAAGAAAGAAACGAAGGAAAAGGAGGACGGAAGGATGGAACGAAAAAGAAAGAAAGAAAGAAATAATGAAAGAAAGGATGAAATAAAGAAAGGCGGAAGGAAAAAGAAAAAAGAAAGAAAGACAGAAAAAAAAGAAATAAAGAAAACACAAAATCAAAAAAAGATGAGATAAAAAGAAAAATGATGATTGAAAGAATAAATAAAGGAAATATGGAAAGAAAGGAAGACAGAGAAGCAATAATAAAGAAAAGAGGAGAAAGGTAGAAAATTTGAGAAGAAAGGAAAAGCGGTAGGGAAAAAAGGACGAAGAATGAAAACTGATAGGAAGAGAAAAAGAAAGTGAAGGAATGCTACAAAAAGAGGTAGAAGGAAGTCGGAACAGGAAGAGAGGAAAAACGTATAAATGGAAACGGGAATGGAAAGAAAATGAGAGATGAAAGACAAGCAACAAATCGGAGAGAAAATAAAGTTATCGAGAGAATGCTTGAAACAAACTTCAACTCGAAACCATCGAAAGATAAAAGAGTTTAGGGTCCGAGATATGATCTGAATAATAACTGAAAAAAAAAAATGGAGAAATAATTGACAAAAATATTTGTTGGAAAGATGTTAAAATGAATGCAGTGTAGAATTGAAAGAAATTTGACCGTGAAAAAAAAAAAAACTGTAAAGAAATAAGGTAGAAACATTAACGATGAAATGTTGATGGGATGAGAAAAGCAACGTGTTATATGAAAGAAAGAAGAAATGTTAGAAAAAGTTGAAGATAAAATAATGAAACAGAGTAAAAAAATAACGATGGAGTAAATAATTCCGATTATTAGGTATGAGGTAGGTCAAAGTGACATTTCGTAGGTTTCGGCGATTAAATGTCGGGAAAAGACAAAGCAAATGTAAAAAAGAGAGAGAGAGAGAGAGAGAGAGAAGACTATTAATGAAGGAATAAGAGACATAATAAAAAGAAAGCAACAAAAGAGAAAATGATAGATTAATGAGATTAACGAACTAAAGCTACAAGAATTATAAAGAAAACTCAACTCAAGAAGAAAGCGACAGAATGGGCAATAAACAAAGAAGTAATTTCATGAGATTAAGAAGAAAAAGTAAAGAGACGCAAGGGAGATGGAAATGACTAAGAAAGAAAATAAATAAAAGGCGAGAAGAAACAATGAAAAAACTGAAAGAAAAAGAGAAAAAAGAATGAAAGAAATATTTTAAAACAAAGACGGAAAGAATGAAAAGGAAAGGCGATAAAAAACAGAGAAAAAGGGATGAAAAAGAAAGAAGAAAATATCAAGAAAAGAATTGAAAAAAAGAAGGTATTAAATGGGCTTGGAAAAAGGAAAAGATGAATGAATGAAATAACAAGTAAAGGATGTTAGAAAAAAGAAAGAGAAGGAAGAAAATCGATGGAATACAAACAAACGAAAGAAAGAAGGAAAGAATGGGAGCAGTACAGAAAGAAAGAAAGAAAGAAAGAAAGGAATGTATCAGTACAAAGAAAAAGCAAGCAAGAAATAAAGAAAGAAAAAAAAAGAAAGAAAGAAAGGAATGTATCAGTACAAAGAAAAAGCAAGCAAGAAATAAAGAAAGAAAAAAAAAGAAAGAAAGAAAGGAATGTATCAGTACAAAGAAAAAGCAAGCAAGAAATAAAGAAAGAAAAAAGAAAGAAAGAAGACTGAATAAATGAACAAATAAACGGAAGAAATAAAAGAAAGGTAGAAGTACAAAGAGCGAGAAAAAATCAAGCAGGCAATAAATAAATAAATAAAATGAATGAAAAATGAATGAATGGAAAAAAAAGGAAGAAAATTAGCAGTTTAAAGAGAAAGAATGAATGAATGAAAAACGAACGATTGGAAAAAAGAAAGAAAGGTACTAATACAAAGAGAAAGAAAGAAAGAATGGATGATTGAATGAATGAATGAAAAATGAACGAATGGGAGAAAGAAAGGTAGCTGTACGAAGAGAAAGCAAGCAAGCAAGCAAGAAAGAATGAATGAAATACATAATGCAAAAAGAAAAAAAGGAATAACACCGGAAAATATGAATAATGGTAATGAAATATAAAAAAAAAATGAAGAAAATTAAAATAAAGAAAGAGAAAATGAAAACAAAAAAATGAGTCGATATGAAAACAAATCAGGAAAAAAAAAAAAAAATAAAAAAAAATAGCGCGGAACCCGGGGAATAATGTCAAACAATGACGAAAAATAGTAAAAACAGTACGAGAAAAACTGGAGGTAAAATTAGTGTTTGATTTATGAAGTGATTAAGAGCGATAGAATAATTGGAGGCAAAGGTTAGAAAAAAGTTTCAATCGAAATAGAACTAAATTTTGAAAGAAAAACAAAATAATGTCTTTGAAGAATCGATTAAAGAATGAAAACATAAGGAAATGGATGAATAAAAATTAAATAAACGAAAATAATGTGGGACAAGAATTAATGAATACGAGGAGAAGAGAATAAAAAAAGATAAAAACAGAAATAAAAGACCAATAAAAAATGAAGATTAAAGAAGAAAAAAAAAGTGAAAATCAGTCATTTTGAAAAAAGAAAAAAAAATCCTCTGCCATCGTAATCTCGAAAATATGCACGAAGAAAGTGATGGCATAGTTATGGGATCTCCCCTAGAACCTTATTTCTCAAATTATAATGTAGCCCACCTCGTAAATAAGATTCTGAACACAAAAAACCACACTCTCTGTATATGTCCGGTACATCAGTGACATATGTCTTCTCAAAAGGGATCTTGATCAGACATTTGAAAGAACTCAGTGTCAATAAAATTCCTCTTCTTCGTGTTCTTATTTCAGCATACGAAAAAAGTATTCCACCATTATTAAATTCTGTCTCCTTAATTATCACAGTGAATGCCCTTACCGATTCAAGATATTGGTCATTAAAAAAAAAAACCCTTAACAACCTTTCTAAATAAAATCTTTCTCAAACTCCATATTCCATAAACAATCATCAACTATGAAACTAGCGTGGATTTAGGAGAAATGTATAGAACGATTATAGCAGACCCACAGATATCTCTTCAGGAGACAAATGAAGTATTCTTCACTACAGACCAAGGGACATTTAAAAGCGAAAGGCGTCGTGTACGATACCGATTACAAAGTTTATTTTATGGTTTTGTCTCATAACCAAGCTAATTGTGACATTTTTAATATGGTGCCGTGCGCAATATCGCCTCCACAGTTTAACCAATGGGATTCCGTGTCATGGCAAGTTAGTTACGACGTTGGCAGTAAAGCCATGAAGATTTTATTTGTAGTTTCGCATCATCTAGTAAAGTGGTCAAGCTAACTGCTGGGTTGATGGAATATTCCGAGAGTATAGATAATCTATACGCAGATTGAAGATTTGTCATGGTCTCGCTGTTTATGTGTATTTATTTTCTATTTACTGGTATGTCTTATGTTCATATAAGTACCATTCAAAGAGATTTCCTGTAGGAAAAAAACGTTTAGAGTCGTAACATTATTTTATTTCGTTCAAATTCTTCTATTATTTATCTTGAAATATTTTTAACAAAACAAAAAGCAAGAATTTTCATGATGATTCTATATTTTATTCTTTCTTATCTATTTATTGATTTCTCTTATTATCATTTAAAATATATAATAACAATTCTTAAAGTGGTACATTTGATGAGGAATTGTTTACCTCGATATTCAGGTGTTATATATATATTTAAATATCTCCCCCCCGTCAAGCAAGGCAGGAAGTCACTAGCAATCAAGGTGTGGCAGAGTTGGAACGAGAGCAAATAGAAGTGATAGAGGAAAGGATGAAGAGAAGGATAGGGGGATAGATTAAGGCATCTGGAGACGTCGACTGACATTACACTTGAATAGTTGGAGATTATATATATCAGGGAAACCAAAAAAAGGAGAGGGATTTCCACAGGCGAGAAGTGCGAGACATGAGGCTATCGGATTAGAAGAAATGGCTACATTTAACATTTGATTATATATATATATATATATATATATATATATATACATACACAAAACTGTATGTTGTTCAGGGGTACAAGTTTTGTACTACTTGCACTCCTGAAGATGATCTTGGAAGAAAAAACGAATATACTTGGGACATGAAAATAAAAGAAATTTAAACAGTTACAGTACGTCTCTCCCCTCCTTTAATATAAATACACGGAAGGCTATTCGTGAGTATGAAGGGATTTTGTTAAAAATTACCAGACATAATGTCGGTAATTTATTCAATGAGACATGCCTAAAAGAGAATTTCCTGTCTAAATTCACACACACACACTATATATATATATATATATATATATGTGTGTGTGTGTGTGTGTAAATATAAAAGTGAACATAGAAGTCAACACTAAGAGGCGACAGTCTGTTTCATGCTATATGCAATCGTCAGGCCACGTGTACTGTTATTTTTTCTCGGCTATTTATACATATACGGGTCAGTGGTGCATTGTGGGTAGTCTAAACAAAACTATTAAATAAGTGATATAAGCAAATTTTTACTACGTTAATAAAAACATCGATTAAAAAGTAAATAAATAAAATAAGAAACAAAAAATAAAATTAAATAAAAACAAGCAAAATAATTTAACCCAAATAAATAAATAAATAAACGACTTCCGATAAAATAACCGCCATAATAGACTACCCACAATGCACCACTGACCCGTATATGTATAAACAGCCGAGAAAAATACGTGACCTGACGATTGCATATAGCATGAAACCGACTGTCACCTCTAAGTGTTTACTTCTATGTTCACTTTTATATTCACACACGCTCTATCTCTGATATTGAGCACTTTATCCCATAAATATAGCACACCTTAAGACTATATTTCTTCATATAAAGTGTATATATATATATATATATATATATATATATATATATATATATATATACGTCTGTGTGTGTGTGTGTGTATTCATGCGTGTACAGTATAGATATATATACTTCGTGTAGATGGATATCATCAGCCCAAGAGGTAGTCCATCTATGAGAAGGGAAACTCTGCATTTAAACCTCTGCTGCCTTGCGAGCATATTCGGCCATGGGAAAAGCTTTGAGAGTAAAGAAGAGGGACAAATTTGTAGCCGGAGTCCCTAAAACCGTCTGATATTATGTTAAACTTCGTTTTGGCTACTCCCGCAACAACGTCAGTGGCAAGCTGTATTGCACTCTGCCTTTCCCTTGGACAAGATCGGTGGCGTGGAAGAAGGTGCTGTAATGCATGGGCCACCGGCGATCTCTCATAAAACCCTTGCCAGGCCAGCGCCCTCGAGAGCACGTGCCATCGTAACTTCAGCGGGACAGCAAAACACGGGAAGCAAGAACAAGATGTGAAGGTACCGAACGTCCTTCTGTATGGAGAACTGGCCACCGGCAGATGGTACGAAAAGAGAAGAAACGGAGACATTTTGTCAGGGTGAATAGTGATCGAAATAAAGAAAGTGGGCGCAGATCCCCGGTCTCTCATGATGGACGTATGCCACACACATATAAGTATCATACTGCTCCCCTACCCCGTAACTGCTAGTCTGTTTTTCACCTCCCGTTATGTTAGATTTTAAATGATAATTCTCTAATTATTTGATACACTTGAGAGCTGGTGGTAGATAGACTCATGCCCGGTGAATATACTAGGCACACCCATCACGGAAGGTGTTATGGTCCAGGTTCTTGTACAAAAGTGATGGTCCAAGGTAGAACCAATAAAGAAGAAATCGAACACGGATATGGAATAACACAGATATATTACAAACAGAAATATATACAGAGAAGTAGGAAGTGTTAGTATGAACAATCAGGTTTAGTAGGGAGAACAATGTAGTCTCGACCAGTATCACTATTCCAATGTCGTGTAGTAATTGTCTGAACGCGACTCTGTTTCGGACTGTCTCTGACGGGCTTCACTACAGACTTTAGACTGAACAGTATTTAGTCACCCCCGCCTCGAGTGCATCATGTGCCGAAGGGTGGAGCCTCTTTCGGGTTCCTCTCCGCCCGAAGGCATAGAATTCAACCGATCAGCCGGTCAGCTGATCAGCCGGTCGCCAGACTTCAGACTGAACGGTATTTAGTCACCCCTCCCACGAGGGCATCATGTGGCACAAGGCTGATTTAACGTGGGATCTCCGAGCCCGTGGGCTCGGACAAAAATATGCTCTTTGAACCCGTATAAACTGGTTCAGGGTCGGTTTACCTCCCCGAAAGAGGCTCCGCCCTTCGGCACAGCCTCGTTCGGGTTCCTCTCCGCCCGAAGGCATAGAATTCAACCGAGCAGCTGATCAGCCGGTCGCCCGACGTCGGACTGAACTCGCTGCTTCCTTTTTAGGCGCAGTATTTATTACGTATGGAATAGTCCATTATGTTATTATGGGTAATATCCCATAACAGAAGGTGTACATAATCTTCCTCAAACCAATTGTAGACAACATGTGTCCGACGAAAAGGCGCATTATCACGGGGTAATAACTCATGCAATAGTCAATGGCGTCCATAGGTGGACGAAAGGGAAAATAATCATTAGTTTTCAGGTTACCATATTAACAACTTCTTGTTATATAGGTGCGTTCTAAAGAACTACGCTAACATAAGCCGGAAACAGTCCAGTTTGTGAGTTCAAGCACGCAGATAGGACTCTTTCTGGTATCGTGACTTTAGTGTGACCAGGGTGAAACACGTAAGAGTCCTGATTCCATATCCCATAGAAACAATGAATATCTTTTTGATATCTCTACCATTAAGTGCGGATAGGTTTTGAACCAGTGTTTTTTGTTTGTTTACACAGACAATTCTTTCTAGACAAATTTGGTCTCGACCAAGACCCGTGGTCGGCCGGTCCCATCTGTCTGATTTAATCTGTTTGAAATTATATATATATATATACCTCATAGCTTATGCTTACGTGGACTCATCAGATGTCGGCGAACAACTGGCCTGGGTATGACCATTTCGGAGATGTCAAGATGGGGTGCTAACTTATCTGACCCGGCT